CTCCCTGTTTTATAACTGTTATGAGTAGCTTAATCTCTGTTTCATTATTTTTCATACGAGCTTATTCTCTGTTTTATTGCTTCTCTGAGCAGCTTGGTCGACTATAAGTGATCATACATGGACCGTTATGTTTTACTTCTCTGAGGCCTTTAGTCTCTGTTTGTTTATTTCTCTGAGGAGCTTAGTCGACATTAAGTAGTCATTCATGGACCATTTATCGACTGGTGTGTTTTACTTCTCTGAAGAGCTTAGTCGACATTAAGTAGTCATTCATAGAAAGAAACCTGTGTAAATGACGGCATCGTACTCCAGATCGTTCTCGAAAACCACAGCTTGAACTTCTGTTTCTGCAGCAACTGGACTCCACTGTCTGCATTTTCTGTCTAGTTCGATGCAAACAGAAAAAAGATTTACAACACACTGAAGGCACTTGCACCCACTTCTTGCCGGGTTCTATGTTCTCAAGTGAACACACCTGTAAAATAATGTCTTTGGCATGACCAGTCCACGATTTGCCTCTTTTTAACCTGCTGCCCTTTATCTTCTTGATTTGACTCTGTAATGGATGCTCTGTGTAGACCTTGACTGTGAGGTAGGCACGAGCTCGGGAAAATTGTATTATGTTTTTTATGGTCGGAAAAGCGAGAAGGTAGCGCATAGCCCTGCATGCTTTATCTCGTGTACACCCAAGTATAATGCGCATAGCCTCGTTCTGTATCATTTCCATCTTTTCCATCTGCTTATGGCTGAGAGTCAGGATCGCCATCGCGTATTCAAAAACAGAAAGGACTAGACCCTGGTATAGAAGACATAGATGACGCTGCTCACATAAATGTATAAGAAAGTTATTGTTCAACACAAGGAGAGTATACAGATGTAAATACACTTTGGGAGGAGTATGCACCACCAACACATGGTTTGCCTTTTGAAATGTTTGGTGAATAATCGGTACAATTCTCAGTGGTTGCAAGTTTTAAAATATCCATGGAGCATGGTGTTTTCGGGCGTTCAATGTAAGAATGTTATATGCATACAGAAAAATTTAATAATTACCTCACAAGCTTGAATATGCATGGAGTGAACTGGTCTTAGCTAAAATGAGCTGGACAGGGACAGTGAAACCACAACAATTGGGAGACATAGGATTTGGTACAGCAGAGGAGGAAAACACACACCAACACGGAGTGCTTCGTGAAAACAGAACAGAAACCATAATGAGCATCACTCCTATAAACAGAAGAATTATCACCAAACGTGTGAATTTGTATCATGTCATGGGCGTCGCAGACCGTCCCAGCCTAATATGGGTACCAGGATGGCTGTCAAGGGGAAGTAAAGACGGCCACCGTTATGTTTACCAAGTTACCTAATGAGTACCGATTTGCTTGTAAAAATAGGAGTGCATTTTCCATATGCCCGGGCCTAAATGCTTGAAAAGAAATGTCTCCTTTTTTTTAACTTTACGTATTGCTGCAAAACAAAAAAAAAAACATCTCTATTCTTCAGGTGACAAACACAAACTACGATGAAGAAGAAATAGAAACTTTATATGCTTATCTACAAGGAGTAATAAATCAAATACCAAAGAAAGATCTTATAACTTTCTTAGTGGTTTGAAATGCAAAGTTTTAGGGACAGATGGGCTTTTGTTGTGAGCACGATGGTGAAAACAAATGACCGGGGAAGGAGACTGAAGGAATTTTCTATCAGTTAAAAGTTAATTTGCCAGCAATTATAAGTTAACTGTAGCCAACATATTGTCCCCCACAAAACACCTAGAAGAACAACATGGCATGCAATAAAGGCAGCAATGAAAAGCCGGATTGATTAAATACTAGTTTCAGAAAGGCTGAAATCTAGCATTACCCAAGCCAAGACAAGGGCTTTCCTGGGAGCTAAAATTGCCAGCGACCATGATATAGTTTTTAATAAATTCAAGCTTAGAAAAAAGACTACCACAAAACAGCTACACACAACAAAACTAAACTGAACAACTATAGCCGAAAAATTTGTCGTTTTGAAACTCATAGAACAGTGGCTCTCAATCTTCCTAATGCCGCAACCCTTTAATGCAGTTCTTTGTGTTTTGGTGACCCCCAGCCATACAATTATTTTCGTTGATACTTCATAACTTTGTTCAGTATGCGTTTTCCGATTGTCAAAACGGTCGCGATCCACAGGTTAAGAACCGCTGTGTTAGAAACAAGAGTGAATTCACTGAAACAAAACGTCAATGGGGCCACTTGGATGCAGCAGAAGAAATCACAATTAACAAGAAGATACTTCATAAACCACGGGTGACATCTTGAAATGATCCCATATGCGACGGGAATTAAAATAAAGGAAAAGCGAATTCCAACAGCATCAAAACAATATAGGATAGAAAAAAAAAAAAATCATAATAATGAAGGTGGCGAAAGAAGAATGGATTAGAAGCCAATATGGATCCTTTGATAAGCGTGTAAAACAGGGCAGCAACAAGGCATGTCTACAAGACAATAAAAAAGACTAACCAAACCACAAAAACGCAAAGATACTGATTCAAAGAGGATAAACAGACATATCCTTCATTAGAAAACAGCAATACTAGAGAGATAGACGGAATATTATAAAGACTTTTTAATGAACAATCTTGTTGCCATTATCCTGTTAGGATCAGCTGACCTAAAAGATCTGACAGTGACCTTCTCAGACAATTCGCGTAAGATTGCCTGTATCGACTTGCGGAAGCTGCACGTCGACAGCACCACGCTGGACATACACTGTACGTTGTCAAGATTTACAGACCACGTGACCATGGACGGCAATTCAGCTGGTCATCTCTGCTCAGTCTACATCAGTGGAGGTAATTCGACCCTTTGTTTACTCTGAATATTTATTCGTTTCTTGAACTGGTTAAACAGAGGAAATACATGTATGGGTTTTGCAAAATATTAATTTCACGGTAAAAGTAACGTTAGTCTCATAAAACAGAGAAGATCACTTTTCATTGACAAGCTTGTTCGGTTGGTCGACTTTCCGAAGGTTATAGGTGTGTCCCGCTCTGTTGTTGGATTTGTGTGATGAGTTGCACATACGTTCTCATTCTGAGAAAGAAAATGCCTGTGACATAGGTTGCACTCTCTTGGGGATTGTGTTAGAGCCAGTTTCTCCAAGTTTTTAGAGTGTTAAGAGCGCTGGCGTTGCAAATATCCACACGCGATATCAACGGCATTGCGGATCACCCTAGTTACCTTGCGCGAAGGCCACGGGCTTAGGAACTACAAATCAGAAGTGAGCTAGTGTGTACATGAGCGGGGTCTGGGGGAGACTAACATTACTTTTACCCATGTCACCTGTATGCAATGTGTGTACATTCATGCTTGGTGTGTGTGTAGGACTGTATAGTAATGAGGAGGCTATTTTCATGTTTTTTCCCTAATGCCGTCCGACACGAGATTTTGTAGGTAAATTCAACTGAAAAGTCATTCCGTATGAGGGAGGGGGGAGTTAAGGTTTAGGATCAGTCTTAGTCGCTTGTTCTTTTAACACTAATAATAAACACTGGATCTCCCACATTGTAGGTGTGTCGTATGTTGGTTCTTTTCAACGTTGTTTTCATGTATTTCATCATAATTGCCACTGTCTGTTATTGACGTTTGTTTCGTGTGTGGAAGCGCTGCCGTTACTTCGTGACTTGGCCTTCACCATAAATTTCCTTGACCTGTGTGCATTCTTGCATGTAACACTAATCCTAACACTGACCTTAACTAACGAGAGAAGAGATCGGGCACTTCCGTCTGGGAGAAAAGAAACCTGCGCACTTTTGTGTGGGAGACATTTTATGGATGTGGTCAAACGAAGCCCAAACACTTGTCCCCACATTGTGAATATATATATATATATATATATATATATATAATTATCATCAATAAACCAAGTTGAGCAGCGTGGGGAGGAATAATTTGCCATCCAGTGAATGTTGGCTGCCATTGGCTATTGTCATGCCATAAAGGCGTAGAGTCTTTAATGTTGTTGATCTATGTTTCCGCGGCCGTCCTCTTGCTCCTGTAGTTAATCTTCTGAGAAGTAGTCCTTGTGATGGTATTTGATCTTGCGGCATTCTAACAAGATGGCCAAACCACCTAATCTGCTGTTTCTCGATGAATCTATTACAAGGTGTCGTTCCCTCAATTTGCCTGATAGTTTCATTATTCACTCGATTTCGGATGTTAGGTATGCTGCTTTCCCAGGCACCTCAACTCGCAGGTGGTGATTTTGCGTCTATGGGCTTTAGATAGTGTCCATGTTTGGCACTGGTAGCTTAATGTTGGAATGAATATGCTATTAATAATCTGTCTCTTTGCACTCGTAGTTATGCTTGGATGTCTTAATAATGGTGACAGTGGGTATATAAGTGCACTTGCTTTCTGAAATCTGGTTTCTATTTCTCTGTCAATTCTACCATCTTCTGTTATCATACTTCCCAGATATTTAAACTCCCTAACTTGATTCAGAGCAGAACCATTCAGCTGTATGTGTAGTGGGGCAGGGTTTCTACTAATTTGCATTGTTTCGGGTTCGTTTACATTGATCTTCATGTTGTATTTACTGCATGATGTGTTTAACCTGGTAATGTGGTCTTGCAGTCTATCTTCTTCAGGGTAGAACAAGCACTGGTCGTCAGCAAATAGTAGTTCGTTTATTGTGAGTGAAACATCTTCTTATGTGTGACTTCATCATGATTATAAAGGTCTATGTCGTCTGTATCAGAACTTGCTTCTTTAGATATTATGTCTAAAAATATGTTGAATAAAAGCGGGGAGAGCACTCATCCCTGTTTCACACCTGTGTTGACTGTGAACATATCTGATATGCCTTTTTATGCTCTTATTTCACGTTGGCTTGTGTGGTACTTGGCTATGATGTTCTCTAGTAACTGTCCTTGAACCCCGTAGTTCACAATAATAGACAACAGTTTGTTTCTCTCAACTCTATCAAAAGCTTGTTCCTGATCTACATACACAATATTATTTTGTTAGTGTACTCAATGGCTTTCTCACACACTTGCCTCAGAGTGAATAATGCATCTGTGCATCCGCTGCCTTTTTTGAAACCGAATTGTGACGCACTCATCTGCTGTTTAGCTATTGGCCCAACTCTATGTTCTAGTAATTTGGCGTACATTTTTCCTACGTGACTCAGTAGTGAAATACCTCTGTATGCTTCACATTCTCTCCTGTTACCATTCTTTTTCCATAACGGTACTATTAGTGCCTGTTGCCACACAGCTGGGACTTTTCTTTCTTCTCAAGCTATATTAAAGATTATAGTAAGCCATTTAACGCTCACCTCTCAGCATGCTTGGATTCCTTCTGTATTAATTTCATCCAGACCTGGTGCCTTGTTTCTGGGGCTGTTCTGTATAACTGCTCTTACTTCCGCTGCTATGAAATTTGGTTCCTCTTGTTCGCAGCTTCGATGTACAAAGTTAAAATTATCTACTTTGCCTGTGGGATTGATAAGTTCTTGAAAATACTCTGCCCATCTTGCCAACAACTTTTGTGGACTCAATAAAGTGTCGGACTAAATAAACTCTTGTTGATGATAATTGTTGCTTTGTAGCTTATGTCTCTTTCTCTCATTTTTTTTACAGATTAATAGAATTCTCTCGGGGCGTTCTTGCAAAGAATAGCCATCTGTTGACCATAATTTTGTTTTAATTTTGTGCTTTGCTTCTCTTTTTACTAATCTGTAATGAACATAATCTTGATGTGATTTTGATATTATCCATTGTTTATATGCCTTCTTCTTCTCTTTAACTTCGTTGTTCCGCCAAATATTTCTTAAAAGTTTTACACCACCTACCCTTCTGACCTTGCATTCGGTTTAAAGTGTGTTGAGCATAGCCGTCCTAAAACATGTCCACTCTGAATCGACGTCTGGATATTCGCCTGGAAGGTGATATGTGTGTGTGAGTGTATGTGTGTGTGTGTATGGCCACTATTCTCAGTATCTAGATGCAGGTCGTTTGTACATGCCAAACTAAGGCAGGTCAAAACACCTTTAACCAGTGATTCCCAAACTGTGCACCGCTGCGCCCCGGGGAGCCACGACGTCTTTACAGGGGCGCCACGAAATATTCGAAGATACACACTTTTTTCATTATTTTTTGGTACATACGAATAGTCATACCTTTTTTTAGGTGAGGTGAACGTAGAGAAATTGTAATTGAAAAAAGGCACCTCGACTAATAAATGTTTGGGAAGCACTTAGCTAGAGTGTAGCACTGTCCTTGAGAATTCTCTACGAAATTTCGCACCAGGCGAGATAGGGTGATACACTTGAATAGAACCCTTGCGACCAGGTTGTTCACATGTGTGTCTTTAAGTTCTGCATTTGTTATGCAAATGAATTTGTGTTTATTTTTATCCATAATATTGATATCGTAGTCGAGGTTATAACTTCACTATAAACTCTTTATAAAATCTTTACGTTTATGTGACAGTGAAATCCATTCAAAATTACAATCCGATACTGTCAGTATCGGAAAACAAATAAGCAGACAATTATTGCTGCAACGTCTAAAAGCATGCAAACACAACAGTAACAGCACACTGCAACTGCTAGAGGCGTCAAGACTATATAGCCTGCCCGCCAGAATATCATGTTGTCATCGATGGAAGTAGTCAGACACGACAAGCAGGTAGTATGCACACGCTTACGCAACAAACACAATTATTGCATTAAGCACATTGCCAGCTGTAACGCAAGCAGACTTGTCTGAACTGTCCGAAAATTGCAGAATAAATCCCTGGAGACACAAAGGAAAAATATTCTGCACGGAGTTGTTGTGTAACACAAACCACTCAACTCTGTAACTTTGTGAACGGCGCCTTATATTCCCGACCAAGTGTGAAAATCGTGTGAATGAATCATAGCTAAAAGCACTTCACGAATATCTGCCCTAACCTCCATCTTTGTGCAAGCCGATGCGGGTGTTCAATGGAACGAGCGTGCAGACTATCTTGAGGACAATGCAGTTGCTATGACTGGTCCAGTACTGGACAAAAGTTATGTTATTAATGCCATGCGCTGTACTTACCGTACTGAGGAACACGCCAAAGGATATGATCCTTTGTCTAGACTAATGGACATGTGGGTGCAGCCTCGAGCTCAAGAAAAAAACATTTTACTAAGGGGACAAGCCGTTTCATTACCCAACACAGAACATTCGTCATCAGTCGTTTTACACACGTGGAGCTTTGGAGGAGGAGATCAGAGCTCCTATGGATCTGTCCGGAATGATGTGATTTCTTTCTAATCAATAATCTCCAATCACATAGCTAGGAGCGAACAGCAATTTCCCATTTCAACGCTTTGTGCCTATGTCTAAAATTCGTAATGGTAACCCTGCTCCTAATGTGTTTACATATTGTGTATGGTAAACTCATATAATTTGTGCATACACACACACACACACAACGTGATTGTAACAGGTTCAGAAAGCATGCTGAGGAAGATCAGAACAGGTATGTTTCGTGCAAAGTGGCATGCTTCACTGCGGAGGACACGAGTGAGGAGTATTGTCTGGATTTATCAGTGTGTTGGAAAATGAACAGGCGGACAAACTGGCTGGCTCTGCACACCTTGGTGGAATACTGATACATGATATAAGGCAGACATGGTGTCTTTGTGGGAGAGCGTATACAATTCAGAGGAGCAGATGGATCACCACAGTCTGTTGAGATTGATGCAGTTGGGGGTGACGACAGTTTTGGCAGATGCTCGAGGCTCAGAGGAAAGGCAAACCGGAGGTTTAATCAGAATGCTACTGACACCATTAGTATTAGAACTCTTCGCTGG